TCGATACATGTTTATCAAAAAGCTTTGGAGGGTGAAAGTCTAGGTTACCATACATTCTAACATTCTACCATATCATTTATATATATATTAAAAAGAAGAGGTGCTAATACACATCCTTGTTTTACTCCCTTCTCTGTTTTTATCAAATTAGATGTCCTTGTGGGCTACAACATACTCTTATCGCAGTATTCTTATGGAGAGCTCTTAGCAGAAATAGAAGACGTCTATCATTGTTGCTTCCAGTTTTTCCCACAGACGTCTTCTTGATATAGAGTCAAAAGCTGCTTTAAAATCTATAAAAGCTGCATATAATGACATCGTAGCACTTGAGAAGTATTTTGTTATTAGACGATTAAGAATCATATAATTGATCCATACACGATCTGCCCTCCCTAAATCCTGCTTGTTCCTGAGCCAGAAAGCCAACTTGTTCCAACCAATCCTTTAGTCTCCATTGTAGATGTTTAGAATAAAGCTTACTGATAATTAGCTGGATCTTCCCTATTCCTTTTTATAAATAGGAGCAATTACTGCCACCCCCCAGTCTCTAGGTATTATTCCGGTTCTATCAATGGTGATGAATAAGGCGGCGATTACGATTATGATAAAACTGTATGAAGTAGCCTTCCCCTAACCCAACTGAATGCAGATTTCCAGAGAACAGCAAGGAGAGATAAGGAGGCCTTCCTGAATGAAGAATGCAGAGTAATAGGAAAAAAAACAATAGAATGGGAAGGACTAGAGATCTCTTCCAAGAAAATTGGAGAAACCAAGGGAATGTTTCGTGCAAAGCTGGCATGATAAAGGACAAAAACGGTAGGGACCTAACAGAAGCAGGAGAGATTAGGAAAAGATGGCAAGAATACACAGAAGAACTATACAAGAAAGACCTCGACATCCTTGACAACCACGATGGTATAATCACTGACCTCGAGCCAGACATCCTGGAGTGCGAAGTCAAATGGGCCTTCGAAAGCATTACTGACAACAAAACTAGCAGAGATGACGGTATTCCAGCTGAGCTATTCAAAGTCCTAAAAGATGATGCTGTTAAAGTGCTACAATCAATATGCCAGCAAATTTGGAAAATGCAACAGTAGCCACAGGATTGAAAAAGGTCAGTTTACATTCTAATCCCAAAGAAGGGCAATGCCAAGGAATGTTCAAACTATTGCACAATTGCACTCATTTCACACGCTAGCAAGGTAATGCTCAAGATCCTACAAGCTAGACTTTAGCAGTACATGGATAGAGAACTGCCAGAAGTACAGGCTGGGTTTCGAAGAGGTAGAGGAACTAGAGATCAAATTGCCAACATTCGCTGGATTATGGAGAAAGCAAGGGAGTACCAGAAAAACATCTACTCCTGCTTCATTGACTATGCTAAAGCCTTTGATTGTGTGGACCACAACAAACTGTGGCAAGTCCTTAAAGAGCTAGGAGTACCAGACCACTTCACCTGCCTCTTGAGAAACCTGTATAAGTGTCAAGAAGCGACAGTTAGAACCCGCCACGGAACAACTGGTTGGTTTAGCATAGGAAAAGGAGTACGGCAAGGATGTATAGTCACCCTGCTTATTTAATGTATATGCAGAGTACATCATGGGAAGTGCCGGCATGGATGAATTACAAGCCGGAATTAAGACTGCCGGGAAAAACATCAACAACCTCAGATATGCAGACAATACCACTCTAATGGCAGTAAGTGAAGAAGACCTAAAGAGCCTCTTGTTTAGGGTGAAAGAGCAGAGTGCAAAAGTTGGCTTGAAACTCAACATCAAAAAAACTAAGATCATGGCATCGGGAGCCATCACTCCTTGGCAAACTGAAGGGGAACTCATGGAAGCAGTGGCATAATTCACGTTTCTGGGATCCAAGAACACTGCAGATGGTGACTGCAGCCATGAAATTAAAAGATGTCTGCTCCTTGGGAGGAAAGCTATGGCAAACCTAGACAGGATAATAAAAAGTAGAGACATCACCCTGCCAATAAAAGTCTGCATAGTCAAAACCAATGGTATTCCCAGTAGTAATGTATGGCTGTGAGAGTTGGACATAAGGTAGACTGAGTGCCGAAGAATCAATGCTTTCGAATTATGGTGCTGAAGAAGACTCTTGAGAGTCCCTTGGACTGCAAGGAGATCAAATCAGTCAATCCTAAAGGAAATCAAACTGTTCCATGGAAGGCAGATACTGAAGCTGAAGCTCAAATACTCTGGCCACCAAATGAGAAGGGAGCACTCACTGGAGAAGACCCTGATGCTGGGAAAGATTGAAGGTAACAGAAAAAGGGGATGACAAAGAATGAGATGGTTAGACAGTGTTACTGCTGCAACAAACATTAAATTGAGCAAACTCCGGAGGATGGTGGAAGACAGGAGGGCCCAGCATGATGTGGTCCATGGGGTCACGAGGAGTCAGACTCGACTGTGCGTCTGAACAGCAACATGACTTAGAGAACTGGACACTTCACTTTGAGCACCAACGACAAGATAAAGATGGATCTGAGAAACTGGAGGACAACAAGGATGCAGAAAAAGAAGACGACAAAACAGGAAAGTTCTACCAACTCTTTTGTCGGTTGAATCCTTAGATTTTGAAGCAGAACTAGGGGCTATGGCTCCCAAGTCCCCCCAAAATAAAAAGGACTTTGAAAAGAAACGTAGAGGAAGGAAATAAGTAAAATAATGAAACTCTAATGGTCTGATAATTATCAGGAACTAATAACCCTAAACTAAGAAGCATACACTCTAACCAAATTTGTTTGTGAACACTCGCTCCATCTTCTATATAACTACTGTATTAACTTTCATGCATTACTACTTTGACAATAGGGAATTATCCTTACTTTAAACAATTGTATTAATGATCTCTTGCTACTCGTAGTTTTAGTTTGTTCCCATCCCCAAACCCTATAGGTGTGTGGTTTAGAAAAGCAATAAAAATGTTTAAAAAAAAAGAACTGGACACTTAAAATTTTCTTATCACTATCTTACAAATTTTTGATGTTTGCTGTTGTATAATGATTTTAGGAAAGGCTATTTTGTAAATTGTATTATCATTTTTTGTGATTTTTGGCATATAAAAATAGATGAATAATATATTTTGTTCATTAGATAGATAGATAGATAGATAGATAGATAGATGAATAATTGATTTGTTAGACAGTAGTGTTGGCATTGTTTGATTAGCAACTGCTGTGGTGCTGTTGCTGTGTTCATTCTTCTTTTAGACTTGGCAGTGCTTTTCCTAACCTGTGGAATGCATTCTATTTGGCCTTCAATTACTGTGGTTTTAAATAGCTTCCAAGCATCCTCTAGGGATTTGACTCTCTTGTAAGGTTCCTTCTTTTGAAATCAAATGTTACAGTTTTGGACTTTAGGGGTAACTTTTCATTGACCTGAGTTCTGAACTTAATAGCATTGTGGTCACTGTTCCCAACTGGTGTAATGACCTCTTCATCTCTCACCAGGTCAGAAGAACCAAGTCCAAGATTGGCTCTGTGACCAACTGTTCCAGCACACAGTCATGCATGTCATTGGTGCTAACGTACACCATGAGTGCTGACTCTTCCCCAGCACTATCAGTCAGCTTATCTAGACAGAGCGTTATGTTCGCAACCTTTGCACCAGGCAGGCAAGTCACTATGCGGTCAAAATGCCTGTCACAGATCCACTCTATATTCCTAATGATCAAAACATCCACTACCAGAAGCCCACCTCCCCCAGCCCCCCAAGGGTATCCTCAGGATATCAGTCCGTCACCCAAGGAAAGGGTCCCTTCTAAGGGATCACATCCCTTCTCCTCAGACTGATGCCCTCCGACCTCAAGACTTTCACTCTCCACGACAGCAGAAGAGCTATCCGCACAGGACTGGGATTGTTCCGGTAAGTCCCTGAGGGTCTCTTCCCCAAATCTCTCTCTCGGCTTCAGTTTCTCCAGGTCAGCAACCCTAGCCTCAAAGGAGTGAAATGCTTCCTGAGGGCGACAAACGCCATGCAGCAAGCACACACCCATGTTTTCCACCCAGTGATAATTGTACATGTTGCACTCTCCACAAAACACTGGATAGCCACTGCTCCCCTCCTGGCTTTCTACCTTCATAACCTCTGCCCAGGAGGAGCCTTACAGTTCAGAGGTCCACAGTCCTCAACTCCCAGCAGCAACAGCAGAGGGTGGGGCCTGCAATCAGCGCTAGACAAACAGACCTTGCTTAACGAGCAACAGACCAGACAAAGACCCAAACAGACCCAGACAAAAACACCTCTCCAGAAGGCTACAAGCACCCATTCATCCTCAAACTTTGTCCTCTGAAAAAGCAACCTCAGTTCATGCTCTCCAGTAATCTAGCAGTTTAGGAAACACAAAGAAAAAACCCCTCATCTTCCCAGCAGCTCTCTTCAGTTCTGCCTCTGCCTAGGAGCCTTACCGTTCAGAGGCGCTCAGCCCCTGCCTCCCAGCAGCAATAGCAGAGGCTGGGGCCAGCAATCAGCCCCAGGAAAACAGACCTTGCTTAATGAGCAACAAACAAAAGATCCAAACAGACCCAGACAAAAGCACCCACTCATCCTCAAACTCTGTCCTCTCACAAAGCAACCTCAGTTAATGCTCCCCAGTAATTTAGCAGTTTAAGGCAAAAAAAACCCACTCAACTTCCCAGCAGCTCTCTTCTGGGTTCTGTCTCTCAGCCCAGCTGGCTCAGTTCCATCATTTGACTATGATGGAAATTCTGCTTTGAGCTTAAAGCATTGGTTGCTGATCTGACTTTCCCTACAGTTGTCTCATCAGTTCAGATTTGAAGATGGGATGAAAGTCAGTGAATGAGATTCTTGTGTGCCCAACAGCAGAATCTTCAGACATGGAGAAAAAATGGAATACTTGACAGCAGCAGAGAATGCCAATTCTGTGATTTACCTCTTCAAGAGGATTCCACGCAAGGCGAATGTTTCTACCCACAGCCAATTATCCAGAAGAAAATAACTAGGCCTGGTTGCTATTTTGTTGTTTATTTCAAAATAGTCAGTCTTGAAATAATTACACATTTACCAAGCAGTATTTCAGAGGCAGGTGAGGGAGATTGTATTAAATAACACAAGAGGGTTTTAATACGACCTACCCCATGGAGGAGGCACATAAATTTTCCAATATTTGCCAGACGATCCACTCCTAGAACAGCAATTTAACCAAAGACAATGTTTTTGATGTTGGCAAAAGCTTTGTAGTGTATTGTCTGGGAAGTGATTTAGCGCACTTTAATTTTCAAAAGATTATCAACAAAAATGCCAGCTAAACCCAAGTATGCAAAGCTAAGTGATTCTTAGATTCTACTATATATTTGTATGGATGACAAGGCCTAATTTGTTTCAGTTAAAATAGCAACTTTTACACCATTGCCTCAATCCAGTAAGGAATGTCCTCATATGCTGCTGATGGGGATGTGCATCTAGAACTCCATCTCAAATGTTCGTCTGCTTCCCATGACAGTAAAAAATATCTCTGAAGCACATACCAAATACACATATCTCCATTTAGGGCTCACAGCTGCACACAACAAAGTGACCTGGAACGGGTTCATAGCCTTTAGCTGTCATTTGGCATTTGCTTGCTGTGATCAAAAGGACAACAACAAAATTTCCGTCCAAATAGTTTATTTGCCAATGTGCAGACAAATAAAACCTGTAGTAGTAAGTACATGGCACACTCTTCCCAGGATGGAGCATTTCAAAACTGCAGTTATGGCAATTTGTTTGAATGTCCTCCCATGCAAGAATTCCCTGCACATGGAAAGCTAACTTATCAGGGAGAATGATTCAGGTCTGTAGCTGTGTTTGGTCTGAAGCAGCAGAATAATGTTTGAGTCCAGTGGCACCTTTACGGCCAACAAAGTTTTATTCTGAGTATAAGCTTCTGGTGAAGAAATGTGTGCGCGCACAAAAGCTTACACCCAGAATAAAAGTTCGTTGGTCTTAAAGGTGCCACTGGACTCAAACTTTGTTATCAGGGAGAAGCATTTCAGCCAAGCTTGACATTCCAGCTTAGTACGTGTGCCGACACAGGGGAGTGTCCGATCATGCAATCCTCATCCTGGCAGCATTCAGCTGCAATGCCAATTTTCCTGCACGTTTACAGAAATGTTTTTGAGGGGATGACAGAGTTCTTCTCGTATTATGGTATCTAGAAAGATCTCCTCCTTTAGTGAAATGCAGACCATCAGATTTTGACACTTTAATCCAATTGCTAGGTGTTAGTGCTCAGTTGTTTTGGACGGGATGCAGGGAGTCCTTGTATGACCGACCGGAAAAATCTTTGGCTAGATTACGAAAGCTATGACAATCTCCAAAGGGTTCACATCTTCCAAGAGATCTCTTAAACATCTGAGAAACATTTGTGGTCCTTTCATATATTTTTTTTTTACTAAAAAAAGAAAATTAAGAAGCAGGCTGTTCCTCAGACATATTTAAAAAGAACAGAGTAGGAAGAATTTAAACAATCCAAATGATTTCATAAAAATCCAACTGACCCTCTAATTAGAAAGAGAGAAAGGCACAGACAGTTCCCTCCTCCCACCCAAATCTTACACATTTCTGATACAGCCAAAATCCAGGAACAAAAAGGTTTTAAATAATTATTCATTAAAAGAATGGCTTGATCTGTGCTATTATTCCCTCCCTGTTACCTTTTCATGACCATAACATTTTGATTGGCAGTACACAGGAGCAACGTTATTTGGTGGGGGTGACAGAAATGTAAATTCCCCAGCCCTTCAATTAAACCATAGGCAATTAAGGCAAGAAACATGAGATTCCTTTTCAGAGATCTGGCAGCACAAACGGCTTGATCATTCCTTCTCTGAAACAGCACGGCTGGTGACTCGGGCCGGCCACTCACTTGCGTGGCTGGTGGATGTGCTGGTTGATATGCTGCGGTGGAGGCAGCTTTTCCACAGAGGGATGCGGCTTCTGATGGGCCACCTGAGCAGCTGCAGGAGGGAAGTCTTTATCGCCCTGATCAAAGAACAAAAAGCACGGCAATGAAAAAGAACGTGGATCTCCACAAATCAAACTAATCCACAAACTAACGCAGATCTCCACAAACCACTGTTTCGATTTGAAGTACCCAAGCATTGCATCCTGCGATCTGTTCCGCTAATGAGAACGCTATTTACCAGCAGTGGGATGCTCATGAAGAGGGTCCCATAACCAGAGGAAAGTGCTTCCATTGGTAGGTCAGATCTGCAGAATCCAAGATCGTTTCAACATACTGACTAGTGTAATGCCCAAAATCAGGACTGTATAATCTATGATTTATTTTTTACAATAAATATTCTTTGCCAAAAAAGTCAAATGCCATGCTATGAAATTAATCAAACACGCATATATTTGTCCTGCTCTGCCCAGTTCAGTTGTGGGCCACAGCTGACGAAAGAACCCACTTCCCTAAACGATCCCTTTCACAGGCTGGGTTCCCAGTCTGCAGAACTTCCACATTCGTTGCAGCGGCCGTTTACAGGTCAGCTGGCCAAAGGAACTTAATACAGTTCTCTAGGACGATCATTGCTACCTAGCCTTTGAACCTCCCCTGACCAACCACTAATGGGTCAGGAAACTGGATGTCTCACTATCGGCTGTACAACTATCAGACCTGATTTAACAAGAAAATATTTATATCTGGCTTATATCTGGCTTATACTGGGGGAGAAAAACACCAGACCATAAAATACTCCAGAAACATACATTGACCTCCACATGAGTTCCGCCATAACACTAAGGTGGAGTGAGATTTCTCACCACCACCCCTTTCCATGAGATGCAGGAGTCATACTGGCGTGTTTCTGTTTCAAAGGAATAGTACTTCAAAAAGAGAAGAGGAAGTTAGTCCAAGCCAGCTGTCAGCAAGCTGCCAAAGGTTCTTTCTATGTGTATATGGTCACCTATGAGTCCCCCTTCCCCCATGCGTAGATGTGCTTAGCTTGTCATGCGCACATCTATCCAGCTGCTATGCATTCCTTTCAGACTACGCCTGTCCTGCTATGATGTAACGCTATCAAGCCAAGGCCACAGGAGGAAGAGCAAAGGAGCTTTGCTTTGTCTTTAATTAGTAGAAGCCGTGGGAATAGCATACCCATTTACAATTAGGTAGCCATTGCTTTCCCAAGGTTTAGGCGCGCGCGCAGGACCCTTGGTCGCGCGCGGGAACCATGTTTATTGGCTATTATGATTATGAACTTGCTTTAACCTTTCATGCTTGATGGGCTCTCGTTATTCTGAACAGTGAACCTGTTCAAGTGCTTCATGGCTTCAATAAAGTAAAACCTTCTTGCAAGGGTGTACTGCATTGTTTGCTGTGGGGACCGGACACCAGCCAATGCTGGGGGCCATATTCTCTCTCGCTCTCCAGCTAGTCAATATTCTGGAGCTCATGTGACTGACATTTTGTGGCTCCCAAGTTCAGTCTGTGGCACCTTCAATTAAAGGATCTCCTGAGGCAGGACTGAGAGATGTCAGTGCTTAAAACCTTTGCAAGCCAGTGCTGATCACAGTGCTGCTGGGGTGAGCAGACCAAGGGTCTTGGGTAGGACATGGCTACAGGTGGTTCAAGTGGTCTTCCTCCACACATCTGTCTTTGTTCTTTTCTTGTCACCTTCAATAAAAAATTCTCAAGATGCCTTTAAGGGAATTGACTCTGGGTTCTTCTTAATGTATTTCTTTCTTCCCCTCCCTTTCTAAAACTTATCTGAAACCCAGTGCTACAATTTTTCAATGGTACAATTTGGCACATTAAGAAGCAACAGATTGGGGTGTGGGGCAACGTGCAGCACAAACATGTTGTATGATAATCATCATTACTGCAGTTACACAATAAAATAAAACTATTCCTTTCTTTAAATGGTAATTTAGGTAATGGGAATTCTAAAATACACCCACTAAGAACTAACAAACTCAGAAGGTTGAGGAAGCCAGAAACCTATTTAGATCACTAAAACTGAAAAGAAAAAAAGTGAAAGCAGAAAATGTTAAGTCAAAACCGAGAGCTTATTTTTGGATTTATATCCCCCCGAAGGCTCATTCTACAAGCGGAGGCATTTGCTTCTGCTGGAAGGACCCTTACCTGGACACAAGATGCTCCTTTTGAAGGAGAGAAGTTCCTCTGCTAGTGGAATCTAACTCTAAAACTTAATTTTACAGTTAATGTTACAAACTAATATATAAAAATCTGTGCAATGACTCACCCTTGCAATGACTCCAGAAATGAACACCGTTTGTTTCGGTGGACTGGAAATGAAAAAAGAGCATTTACTTTTGCAAGATTTCCATAGAACACCAATAATTTCTAAGGAAGATTTTACAAGCAATCAAGATAACACAATGACAGGTATTCTTGGAAACTAATGATCTTCTTCGCGGTCTCTCTGCATCACACCTATGGGATCCAGTGCACCTGCGCTGATCTGATCGGTATTGTACAAAGCTCACAATGGGATTTTTTTGCACCTCCACCCTTAGTCTGCATGGGAACCCCAACTGCGCATGCCCAGGAGAGTGGAGCGCGGACATCCTGCCAGCTCTTCTTTGACTGCCATGCTGTTCACAGCTATTTTGTTGGTCAGTGATCTTAGTCTCTTCCTCACGTTGGGATTCGTCCTTTTTCTTCAGTTTTTTCTTCAGTTCTTCAGCCTAAACAAAGGAAAGAGAAGTAGAAGAGGGGTGAGAACTTCCGTCAAGTCTTTGGACTCTCCCCCCCTCCCCCTTTTCCCTCACCGGCTGAGGAGAGTTTTATAGATAAAAAGAAGTGGGGGTGTTTCAAGAGGTGTGTCTCGTGTGGCAGTAAGCTGGCTCCTCGGGACAGATACACTCTGTCTGGGGGAATCTCATCATCCAGAGGGTTGCGCTTTCTGTGTGAAATTCTCTAATCAAACGCACAAGAATTGAGCAGCTAGGCTTAAGGTCACCCTTTGGAAATCGGTGTTAGCCCCTCCGAATCCAACGATGTCGACCGAACCCCCTCCGAGATCATTGCTATCGACCGGACCCCCACCAAAATCATCCGTATCAACGTCTTTGACATCGAAGCCATCCCGGCCGGGCAAGTCCACTTCCGATACAGGGACAGCCCCTTCTAAGAAGCACTCCTCTAAGTCTGCTTCTTCTGCTTCGACACCGGCAAAGAAAAATTAGAAGGACAAGTCAGAAAAACAGAAGTCCTACGGGTCTTCCAATAGGGACCCGCAGAAGCCTCACACTGTGAGCAGCGTGATCCCTAAGGGCTCTGCACTGCCGCCCGTTCAGCAGTCGCACCCCGTGTCAACACAGCCTTCCATTCCGGAGCTGCCTAAGGTGCAATCAGCACCTCCTATCGAGATACTTGACTCTCCATTTAGGCAGCTGAACCCTCCGGTATTAGAGTTGAGCCTTGAGAAGCGTCAGCCATCGATATTGGCCTCCAACGCTGAGATCCGGGCTGGCTCTGCTGAGGGGCAACACTCTCTGTTTCCTCCTGGGCTAGCGGTCGCTCCCATCCCGGCAATGACTATCGACCCCGCGATTGATCCTGTTACCCCATCCATACAGATGACCGATGCCAATGGGATGACTACCCGAACCATCTGGGTTCTCGACACAGATTAACACATTCACCCAGAAGGGAATATTCACCCAGACCTACTGGGCCTGGCTCGCCTTCTCACTATTGTCATCAGCCTTCCACGTTCCCTCAATGGGATCACCGTCAGCACATGCCGTACTGGTTTAGCTCCTTCCCACTCTCGACATTGATGCCCTGGCTAACACCGATGGGTCCAGATGAATGGGAGCACCGTTCATACTGATCCCGCTCTCCACGGCGTCAACCTCCACCTTCCGCATCCCTCTCCAAACCACCGGCATCTCCTCCACTGAAGCAAGCCTTCCCTTGCCATCCCCCATCTACTCCACCGACGTTTCAGGGCGCTTTGAAGGAACCCTGCCCAGCTTCGATAACGACTCAGGGACCTGGGTCACATTCAGGAATCTCCCGTCGTTTCCGATGTCGAACAATCAGAAGATGGGACCTCGCCCAGAGACCTGTCCCCTAAACAGGACGTTTCAGAACATCTCCCCATCTCTCCCTCAGAGGACCTTTCTTCCTATGGGGATCTAATTAAAAGGATGGCACATTCGTTGGGCCCGCCCATCATCCAACCTCAACCTTTGATGTCGGATGCCGTCTTCGATGTCGTTCAATTGGGCACATCTACAGCTATCTTCCTCCCTATGTCGACCGTCCTTTTGCAGGCTGCCAAGGTGCCCTGGGAGAAGCCGTCTTTGGCACCGGTATCCACTAGAAGACTGGATCACATGTACTGGGTGCAAGAGGCTGGAACGGAGATTTTGCATGTCCATCCGAAGCCAAACTCCATGGTAGTCTCCTCCTCCTCAAGGAACAAATGCACGCACACTACTCCATCTGACAAGGAGAGCAGGAAACTTAACTCCTTCGGAAGACGTTTTTACTCTGCTGGAGCCCTAGGGGTCAAGACCTCCAATTACATTGCAGGCATGAGTAGGTACCAGTATGCATTATGGTATGCCGTACTGGTTTAGCTCCTTCCCACTCTCGACATTGATGCCCTGGCTAACACCGATGGGTCCAGATGAATGGGAGCACCGTTCATACTGATCCCGCTCTCCACGGCGTCAACCTCCACCTTCCGCATCCCTCTCCAAACCACCGGCATCTCCTCCACTGAAGCAAGCCTTCCCTTGCCATCCCCCATCTACTCCACCGACGTTTCAGGGCGCTTTGAAGGAACCCTGCCCAGCTTCGATAACGACTCAGGGACCTGGGTCACATTCAGGAATCTCCCGTCGTTTCCGATGTCGAACAATCAGAAGATGGGACCTCGCCCAGAGACCTGTCCCCTAAACAGGACGTTTCAGAACATCTCCCCATCTCTCCCTCAGAGGACCTTTCTTCCTATGGGGATCTAATTAAAAGGATGGCACATTCGTTGGGCCCGCCCATCATCCAACCTCAACCTTTGATGTCGGATGCCGTCTTCGATGTCGTTCAATTGGGCACATCTACAGCTATCTTCCTCCCTATGTCGACCGTCCTTTTGCAGGCTGCCAAGGTGCCCTGGGAGAAGCCGTCTTTGGCACCGGTATCCACTAGAAGACTGGATCACATGTACTGGGTGCAAGAGGCTGGAACGGAGATTTTGCATGTCCATCCGAAGCCAAACTCCATGGTAGTCTCCTCCTCCTCAAGGAACAAATGCACGCACACTACTCCATCTGACAAGGAGAGCAGGAAACTTAACTCCTTCGGAAGACGTTTTTACTCTGCTGGAGCCCTAGGGGTCAAGACCTCCAATTACATTGCAGGCATGAGTAGGTACCAGTATGCATTATGGGAACAACTTGCTGACATTAGGCTATCTCTTCCCGATGATAAGCGTCAAACAGCTTGGACCCTTCAAAAGGAGGGCATGGTATTGGCCAAGCAACTCTTGAATTCATCCAAACATTCCCTGGATACCTTCTCCAAAACAATGTCTTCTGCGGTTGCCCTTCGCAGGCCTTCCTGGCTTCGTACGACCTCCCTGCCACCTGAAACTAGGGCTTATATTGAAAACCTGCCCATTCATCTACGGACTCTGCTCATCAGGAGATGGACAAGAGCAGTAAGGCTTCCAGATCTTTGGGTGTTTCTGGCCCCTCCAAACAATACTGTCAACTCTCTTGGTCACGCTGCAGCCCCAAATGTCCATATAATAAACCGTTTCCTGAGGGAGCTTGGAGACCTCATCAGTCACCCACAGGGCAACGCCAGCAATACCAATACCCGGCAAAGCCCAGGTACAACAACATTCCCGAGCGAAACCTCAAGAGACTCCCAAACAGGGCCTTTGACTTGCCCCAGACCACCTCCAAGGAGTCCACCCGCCTTTCTCCATTCTTACCAACTTGGCGGGAAATCACTACGGACCAATTGGTTTTGTCCATTCTGGTCCATCGCTACTCCATAGTGTTTTTGGAATTCCAATATTGCCTGTTTTTGTGGCCGCCCCCTCCACCCCTCTTCTTCTCCAGGAGGTCACCTCCCTCTTGGCGAATGATGCAATAGAATGAGTGCCGATGGGATACAGAGGGACAGGCTTCTACTCCCACTACTTTGCCGTTCCCAAAAGGGATGGAGGCCAACATCCAATCTTAGACCTCCAGAGTCTCAACATCTTTGTGGAATACCGTAAATTCAAAATGACATTACTACAAATGATTCTTCCTCTCCTGGCTCAGGGCTCCTGGATGGCTACCATTGACCTCCAGGATGCTTATTTCCATCTCAATATCCACCCTTTTCATCGAACGTATCTCCAATTTGCCACAGGAGACCTCCACTGCCAATACAAATGTCTCCCCGTTTGGACTCTGCACGGCTCCACGAGTCTTTACCAAGACGGTGGTGGTGGTGGCAGCTTTTCGTCGTCTACAGGGAATTACCATCTTTCCCTGCATCGACGATTGGCTACTACTGGCACAATCTTCAGCACTCCTGGGAAGTCACGTCTCCCAGACACTGCATACCCTGTCATCTCTGGGACTACAAGTCAACTGTCTCAAATCGCATCTGAAACCATTGCAGCGGGTACGGTTCATTGGGCCAATTCTGGTTTCGCCAGTATGCAGGGCTTGCCTCCCTGTGGATAGGGCAGCGACCTTGTCATCCCTTGTGATAGAGGTGCGGAACAACGCTATGTCCACAGCAGTGTTCCCTCTAAGCTGAGTTAGTGTGAGCTAGCTCACAGTTTTTTAGCCTCCGGCTCACCCATTTTTGTCTTCGCTCAGGAAGGATGGCTCCAGAGCAAACTAATTTATGCGGTAGCCAAATTGCTTGCCCACAACTTCAATGACAGTAGCTCACAAAATAGAATTTTTGCTCACAAGACTCCACAGCTTAGAGGAAGCATTGGTCCACAGCCTCTCTCATCCAACGCCTGTTGGGCCACATGTTGGCTACCACGTCGGTATTGCCACTCGCCAAGCTACACGAGGCCTCTGCAGATGTGGTTCCTGCAACATTTTAATCCATCCATCGCCAACCCTCTTTGAGGGTATGGGACTCCCTCTTATGGTGGACAGTCGAAGCCAACCTGATTCAAGGCGCACCTCTCCACCCACCAACCCCACGTCTCACGCTCACCACCGACGCTTTCCTGTGGGGATGGGGGGCCCATCTCAACAGTCTCTGTGTGGGACACAAATGAGATGCCCTCACTGCGGCCAACCACACA